TTGTATATGGTATAACCCATGGAGTTCATTCTTAAGACACCCAATCAATTTCACATTTTCATCAATCATTTCTTTTCCTTAGTTGACATTTATAAAAAGGATCTAATTTTTTATGAGTTCAATAGATCATTAATAGTATAAAGACTGATATTCCTTGCTCTTTATCAGAAAAACATATCATTATAGTTTTTGTTTCGTCAAGCCCTTGTTTGATCTCTGGTCCGCTCCCTATTGTCCAACCGCTCCATGTCATACTTTGATGTAAAATAATGATTATCCATTACAATTTTAATTACATAATATTTATGGATATATTTTATGTTTATTTCTTGTTAGATTGTGTTATACCTATTCGTCTTGCTTTTATTTTCATTAAAGAAATCAATATTGAAATCTTGTTGTGAATTGGATTGTGCTCCTCCATTATCAATTTTCATAAATCATTATCATCCGATTGCACATCATTACGAACCAAGGGAACTTTGTCATTCTTTAAAGTATTTTTCTTCGTATTTCTATCATTTTGTCTCTTGTATATGGTATAACCCATGGAGTTCATTCTTAAGATACCTGATCAATTTCACATTTTTGTACAAACTGAATTATATGTACTCTAATTTCACCCATATTAGAAAATGAACATATAAATCCCAATACTTTAATTGCAAGTCCTATAAGTTTGCAGTGGTATCATCAAATTGAAGTCATCATTCAACTAAATTTGAAAAGAAAAAAGAAAAAGAAAAAAAAAACTAAATCTGAAAGAAATTCAATCAAAATTGTGAGAATTCTTCCTAATTTCAAGTAATAAATGTTAAAAGTTATTTTAAGGACCTTTTGTAGCTATATTTTTGGCTTGTTGTAGTTCAAATTTTTGTTTAAAATTACACAATAAAAGGACCGTTTCTGTTTTGTTTAACAAAAAATCACAATGAGGCTTACACCTCATTGCCCGAGGCTGAGGCTCGTCTCAAGACACGTCTTGTCTTAAAAAATGCCTCGAAATTTGGAGGCTAATCGTAACTTTTTTAAACAAAGCTAAAAATAATATCAATATTCTTCATCTATGGACATTCACACCTCACACACTACATAACAAGAAATAAAAGAAATATATATCCACAAAAATTTATGTTTCTGAGATTCAAATTATCAACATAATTATTTTAATTAATATTTTTATTGATGATTAATCATGAAAAATAGAAAATAATTGGATTTATAGATATTAAGAATTGAGAGAATATAGATACGACTAATTATAATGCACAAAATAAATAGTTTATTACGTCATGATTTTAATGAAAACTAATTGGGAGATGAGAGCACTAAGGACTTTAAAATTAAAAATTCAAATGTTAATGACTTATTATATTCTTGTTTAAGTGGAAGGCACTATGAGAAAGGGGGAAAGATTAATGATGAACTTATTTTGATTATTATATTATGATGTTTTAGTATTTTAATTTAATATGTTAGTTTACTTTGTTAGTTCAATGTTGGTATAACCCATTTTATTTCGTATTGGATGTTAGGATATTAATGTGTTACTTCTAATTTTATGCAAATTAATTACTTTTTACTTAGAACGTTGTTATATTATTTTTTAACTCATTAATAAATTAGAATATTTATAGTTATTTCTTAATTCACACTTTATGGTTAATATAATATTTATTTATTTACGTATTTTTTTAGATTTGGGGCTTATGCCTAGTTTTACGAATGAAAAACACCTCAATACCCAATTGTATAATTGTAAACATCGGTTCAAATAGTCCTTTCTTATTTGAGAATGGTACAAGTTGAATGCCATCTTTTGTCTTCTCAGTTGAGTCAATTATCAACCTATCCTTGTAATGATATAAACTAATTTGATTTCAGGATTAGTTGACTTGTTCTCAAAATATTGAAATTATGGATTAAGATATTACCCCGTGGCATGCAAATAATGTTGAAGTTCAAACTTTCACTTATCCTCAATTACTTCTAACCGGACTCAACTTATCTTTAGTCTAAATCTATCGGTTTATTAGACTCGTCCATTATTTTGTAAATGAAACCCATAGTTGGCTTTCTCTTAGTCATGCCCATTGCATTGTAATTGTAAATGAAGCCCATAACTGGCACTTTCTCTGAATCTGACATTCTTAAAAGTTGAATAAAGGCTTTGTTGTTATTCTTGTATGGTTAACATTTAACCAAAACCTTTTTATGTAAGATAATATTTCTAACTTATTTTTCTGTAGATTTCCTTGCATAAATAAAATCAAGCCATTGTGGGAAATTGAATATACTTTTTAATGGTTGGCTTGCTTTGTAGGGTCAAGTACGCCATGGCTAGGGGTGTAAACAAACCGAACACGAACGAACAAAGCTTGTGTTCGTGTTCGCTTCGTTTAAAATTTAGTTTGTTTGAAATAAGCTCGTGTTCGTTTCTTAACGAATGAGTCGAACACGAACCGAACACGAGCTGTTCGTGAACGACGAGCCAATTTGACATCCCTAATATTAATATATAAAAATAATATTATATATTAATTATATAACTTATATTATATAAATATTCAATATCTATATTAGTATATTACTACTATAGTATATTAATATATTATTATTATTATTTTATTATATATTATAATTCATAAAATTTAATGTTTTAAAATATAATAAATTTTTTATATATAATTATTTTATATTATTTTATATTTCAAACAATAACGATTCGAACACGAACGAACGCATCACTGTTCGTGTTTGGTTCGTTTAACTAACCGAACGAAAAAAATTTATTCGCGTTTGTCTCGTTTACTTATCGAACGAATCGAACACGAACTCATTGACGAACCGAACACGAACTGTTCGCGAACAACGAGCTTTTTTGACGGCCCTAGCCATGGCTGATCTAATTCTAATAGACTGAATTTTTTAAAAGAGTTTCTCATCAAAGCTAGAGCCCACAAATGATTGGAGATGAACTTTATTATCTTCTTTGTTTGAAGCATTCTTGTACTGAGACAAGTCATTATTTTCTTTTTAAATCAAATTTATGTAATTTGGTGCATTTGGTGTTTATTAGATATGTTTTCTCTTTTACATAAACCTGTCATCATTTTCTTATATCCTATCTTTGTAGTATGTTGCACTTGGTGTTTAATATGTATTTTTTCTCTTTTCCTAAAACCTTTTCCATTCCTGTCATTTTATAAGAAGTAGCATTTTTTAACTATAGATAGATAGATAGATAGATAGATAGATATTGATATACTCAATCCAATGTAACCAAAATTGTTAAAAAATGCTACTTCTTATAAAATGACAGGAATGGAAAAGGTTTTAGGAAAAGAGAAAAAATACATATTAAACACCAAGTGCAACATACTACAAAGATAGGATATAAGAAAATGATGACAGGTTTATGTAAAAGAGAAAACATATCTAATAAACACCAAATGCACCAAATTACATAGATTTGATTTAAAAAGAAAATAATGACTTGTCTCAGTACAAGAATGCTTCAAACAAAGAAGATAATAAAGTTCATCTCCAATCATTTGTGGGCTCTAGCTTTGATGAGAAACTCTTTTAAAAAATTCAGTCTATTAGAATTAGATCAGCCATGGCTAGGGCCGTCAAAAAAGCTCGTTGTTCGCGAACAGTTCGTGTTCGGTTCGTCAATGAGTT